TCAATAAAGATGTTAAGATTTTGCCTTCTAATGATTTCTGGTGCTCAGTTTTTCTTCCCTTTCTCTTAAATAGAAGTAATGAGTCTCAGCATGTTAAGGAGATCCTGCCATGAAACATCTGCAATTCCTTTGAACGAGAAGGAAAATAAACCTACAAAAACTCATGTGCTTCAGCTGACATTGCCTTTCTGGGAACATCAGAACATTGGTTCTTCTGGCTTCAGTATTCATGTTTACAGTCATTAGAAACATGATCATATCTGGGCTGCAAAACCAGGACAGCCATGATGGCAACAAAGAATTTTCTGAATCTCTTTGCTGCCATTTGGAGGTCATCCAGATATTTGCAACTCAGATATGGTGCCCTTGCTAGGCACATTCTCTGGATGGGGATGTGCATCTGAATTCGGAGTCAGATTAATGCAAAGTCAATTGAACATCTGGAGAACATCTGCTCCCGTCGCAGAGCAAAGATGATCCCGTTTGTTCCTAATGTCTTGTCAAGCCTTTGGGAATTGGAGCCCTTCTCTCTCTGCTTACTATTGTATGCAACCTATGGGTCGGGTTCATCTATAGCTTCATTTTTACCGAAGTCAAGGGCAAACAAAGGTCACACTTGTACCACTGTGTTATACTATTTGAAGTGGAAGTGCAAGCCTTCTCCGTTCCAGGGCTCCGGTGTCTACTACAGAGAAGAAGAACTGCTTGGTAGTCTCAGTATTTTGCAGTGTACTTAGGCATGAAAGACAGAAACAGAGGACTACATTTTAAGGAGCATCCTGTTTATGGTCTTCACCCTGAAATGTGCAGGTGAGTATATTGATAGTCCTCTGAGAAAATGTCTCTCTTTGTAACTAAACTCCATAAAGAACATGGAGTGACAGGGCTCCCAAATGTAATCCTCATCAACCCCCCCCCCTTCCCCATCCACATATCCACACTGGAAATCACAATCTGTTGCTTTCTTTCTCTGAACCTTCACACTAGATTTGCTCCATAATATATTACCTCTAAACTACTAAGTTGAAGATCACAGCCTGAACAAGATGCGGCATTAGAGGCATGATTCTTGTCATGTAATGCATGAATGATTGCAGTGTAAAGCTGGGCATTCCTAAAAGCTGGAATTGCGCTGCAGAAAACCATGTGCATGTCCCCTTGGGCAGTCTCAATTCCCCAGGTAAGACAAGAGGACTTTGATGCTGAATCCTGGAGTGTCCCCTCCACCTACTATCCCCATATGCATAATGGGGTGGAGGTGGGGGTGGGGGAGGAAAGACCAATAGTTAGGCTGAAGGAAATATTACAGAGTAACAACGTATTCAGAGCAGCCAGCAACATTGAAAATTAAGATATTGTTCAGCAGCCTTCCCTAACTAGGGGTCTGCCAGATGAGTCGGGCCAATTCCCACAATCCCCATGCCAGCACGGCACCAGCCAGGTTGGGGTAAATTGCTTGACTGCCCCACTTTCTTGGGCATGTAGTTCCTTGCTTCAGCAGTGAATGTCATTACTGTGAGTTCACCCCAGACTCCTTTCTAATGGTCTTCCTATCAGGGCTTCATCTTGCATGCCTTCCTGGACAGTCAATGCAAGGCACACGGTTGAGCACAACAGAATACTTAGGAGTTCCCTTCTTTAACCAGGTATCTTCCAGATACTCAAACCTCCCAGGCAGCAGGTGTCTGGCTATGTTGGCTGGGAAATCTGGGGGTTGCAATCCAGGTACATCTGGAGGATACCAGGCTGGGGAAGGCTACTGTAAAATTCACTGGTTGCCCACATCTGCCCTGGGCTCTTATCCTGTGCTTCCACCATGACTGATGCCCCATTTCCCTCTAGAGTGGAACTCTATGGGTCCTTTCAGCAGGATTGGACTGAAATTGAAATTGAAAAGTAGGGTGGGTCCCCTCTAAGTTCCAGGTGATAGATGTGGACTTCTCCCCAGTGCTGGCTGGCTTGCTCCAGCTTTGCACCATTCGCACAGCAGTGAAAACGTGGTTGGGCCCAGACCTGCAGCCATCCTGTCACAGAGAAAAGTAATGGACCACAGTAGCCCCACAACTGGGTTAGTGGCACTCTAGAACTACAAACGGGCAGGGGATGCTCAGAATTCATGCTGGGGGGAGATGAGAAGCCAAGCAAAACCCAAAGGTATGAGCAGCAAGCTTGGAAGTGGAAAGATGTTTCTCATGTTAATGGCTTTGGAAGCCATGGCTGGAATAGCTTTGTACTTGTCTTGCCCTTCTGGTTGAGGCACTGCAGCCATGTCTCTTGGACTCCTCTCGCAGGGTGTTGGTTTGGAAGCTGCAATATCACGAATGAAACCGGTTTCGTTTGTTAACACCTCCTGCAGGTAAAGACAGAAAATGCTCCAGATATACAGCACCTACTTGTTGGGCCTCGCCGGTCTTCTTGGGAGGGGGTTTCTTAAGCTTTTTGTGCCATGCACTCTTTTGAGAGTCTCAAGAAACCTACAGAGCTTTGGTCAGAAAAATGTGTTTAAGTGCATAAAAC